AAAAACTGTATAAATTTAAAAATGGTGGGACAAATTCGCACAGTAGGATAGATTTAAAAATTAGTGGGAAAAATTCTTGCACAGTAACATACATTTAAAAAAATTCCAAAATTTTCAAAATCGACAAAAATTTTAAAATTTTCAAATTAGGTATCAAAATTTTAAAATTTTTAAAATTGTTTCAATTATAAATTTTAGCGTATGGGAAATATATAGTGAAACAATTTAAAAAGGATTTAGAAGAAAAATAGTTGTTCTTTTATCTAAACATAACAAATTCTGTGGAAAAAATAATTCTTTCAAATATCTAAAGTATAGTATTTGGAAAGTGTTTAAATATGGAAGTATGTATAATAAAACACATACTTCCACAAATATACAAATCATTCTTTTTCGTGGGGTTAAAGTAGGGGAAGTTAGATTCACATGGGAGATTGCATTGGGGCGCATGCGTGGCATCATTGCCGGATTTAAAAAAAATACCCTATTTTTGTCCCTATTCGGGAAGTTTAAAAAATACTTTTTAATAAATTGAATATAAATTGTACATTTTAGATTTTATAATGCCATTTTTATAACGGCAAGAATATGGCAACGTTGTATTTCTACCACGAAAGCCAAAAGGTTTTTATCATAGACTTAATAATGTAAATGGTTTTTATAACTAACCATTTTGTTTGTTTTCTGTTGTATACCAATTGTTTTCGCATTGTTTTTTTCCATTGTGTTTACGAAATTTTTAGTGGCTTTTACCTAATATGCATATTATGCCAATTTTTGTAAGCAACCCACTTAACACAATATGTTTTAAAAATATTGTCAGAGCATTTGAAGAACAATATTTTTAAATGAAAGGTTGATAAAATGTTCTATGAATATTCAGGGAAAAATATTTCTATAACTGTTACGCGTAAATATTTCTGAACGATTCCTAAATATCTCGTAAATATGTTTCAACATTTATTTCGCAATTTTATGTAAATAATATTTTTAAAAAGGTATCTGTTGTGTACGGCTGCAAATCAGTGTCAGTTCGGCCATTTTTACTTTGTTGAGTGTGTTTCAAGTGTGACGCTAGTTAAAATAATAAATTATCCATATAATCCTTTCTGTTAGAGGTATGTATTATATTTATTTTTATTGTTTAGATTATTATTGCTATTTATGAATGGCAGTATATAATATAATATTTTATTTTAAAAAAACATAAACCAAATAGAAAATCAAAAATATTATTGTTTTTTAATTTTTAAAAATAAAAAAGGTATTTGCCCGAGCGGGATTGAACCGAAGACTAATTTAAATTAAATTCTTATTAGCCTTCATTCGGAAAAATCCAAAATCCGAAACTGTAAAAAAGAAACTTAAAAAGAAAAACCAAGACTGTAGAAAGAAAAATATTCTTTTATTTCTGTAACTTTTTCCAAAGAATTTTTTGTTCATATTTTACTTTTATTTATATAGATTATTTTTAAAATAAAATATTTTTTTTATTAAGGCGTGTACTTTTTTCTTGTATTTTTAACGTAGGTACAAAAAGTAAATCTCAAGCTATGGTATTCCACTGTTTTAGTATCTAATATAAGAATACTACAATAAAATACAACAATAAAATTCAGTACACAAAAAGTATCGCACAGCTTTTATAAATATAAAAGCTACATTTTTTTAACATTAACAACAACATTTTTAAAATAAATATGCAATAAACTGTAAATATTAATACAATATAAGGTAATGTATCTAAACCATTTACAAAAATGTTATAAAATTGTTGTAAAAAAAAAATATTGCATAAATATAAAAAGTGGGACATCTAAATGTTGTAATAGTATATTATGTATCAAGTTTGATAAACGCCATTTTATAGAAATGTTTATAAACGAGGTGCATACTATACTTTTTTTACGACAAATACTTATTATTATCTTAAAATGATTTAAATCAAAAATTTTTATAGAGCGCCATCTATGAAACAATACGGTAATCTGTGTGTCACCGGCAAATGTCAAATTTTTTTATTTTATAAACACAGATTATAAAGGTTATAAATCGAAATGTATTTTTTGAAAATTGACAGTTTTGAAAGTAAAGAAAATGTTTTATGAGCACTTTACAGTGGAGTCCGTGCCCGAATTTAAGTTATAGTTTACTGCCGGCAAAATTAAAAGGTCAGTACAATGATCATATAAACTTTTCAAATATTGGCGTTGAGAAACTATTTAATAATTTTGTATTTTTGTATTGAGATAATAAAATAATTTTTACATTTAGTAATATTTTACAAGAAAGGCAATTTATTTTAACGATTGTATGACATTTGACAACTGTCAACTAACTTAAAACTAACTTCAGCCCGTGACTAAAAACCTGTTGCTAACTTCAGCCCGTGACTAAAGCGCCATAAAGCCACAACTTTTCAATGTGTATTTAAAAGGTCACTTAGTGTCATGGAAACATGTAAGATAAAGGACGTTTTAAAGGTGGGAGTAGAAAAATATTTTGGAGGCAATTAAATGATAACACAGTACAACACGATTTTTCTCCCATGAAAAATTTAACCAGATTTTAAAAATAAAGGTTAAACACCATTTCACGAAATTCCGTCATTTAATTTTTTTACACAGCCATTCTTATTATTTTAACCTAAACAGATTTTTAATTCTCTATTTTGTTAAACATCATTTTTTTTCTTCAAATATTTTATGTTTTTACATAATACAAAAATTATACTTAAAGAAAATAACAATTTTATTTTTTTTAAGTAAAAAAAAATTTCTGGTTTTAATTTTTGTTTTTTTAATAAAACAACAGATTTGTATTTATCTTATATTAAATATATATTAAATATATTTGTATTTATCTTATATTAAATATAATATATATTATACATATTATGTTGAAAACAAATCTTGATCTTTTATTTTGACGAATATAGAATCTACAGTGGTATCACAACCTAAAAACACCACTTGATATACAGGGTGTTTCACATTCGTGCTCCATTGGAAGTTTTTGGAGAACGGAAAAATATAGATTTGAAATTTAAAAGCGTTCCATCCATTAAGTCTATTTTTTTAATATTTTGAACAAAATGCAACTTCCGGTTTGACCGGTATGTTAAATAAATTGACATTGAATCTTTTAAAAAATGTTTTAAGATTCCAAAAATTCTACCCCTATTTCTGCAAACCTAATAGGAAGAAAGTTATAGGCTATTTTGACGCGCATTTGTCATATTTTAACGGAACAAATTAATAACTCGAAAACTATTTACTCTAGGTATAGGACATCTCAAAATTTTATGTTAAATTTAAAAATGTAAAAATAAATAGGGTGTTTCGTTTAAAATAACAAAGTTCATGTCACTTCCGGTCAAGCCGGAAGTGACATTTTGTTTAAAAATAGGCTTATCTATCTATTGCAGTGCTGCCAGATTTGGGGTTTTTACCCCAAAATGGGGGATTTCATCTTGCTTTGGGGAAATTTTGGGGTAAAGCTCATTTTGGGGTATTATGGGGTTTTTTCGGAATTTCCAGAAATTTTTTTATGTTTATGTGGATTATCTAGTTAAATTTTAATAACACTACTTCAAACACAATACTTAATAATTTTTATAGGATTATTCTTTGGTTTTATTATTTGACAGCAAGTTTTGCCAACTTTTTATAAACCAAAACACTGTCATTTTGGTTGCCTAATGTTTCTTGGAAGTTCTAAGCAGAGATATCCATATCTCTGGTTCTAAGCTCATGACATTAGGCAACCAAGATAAAACAGTGTTTTTTTGGTAAGAAGTTGGCAGAACTTTCTTAAAAGAAGAATTCAGTAAATCACAAAGAATCAGTTTGTTGTGTTTTTTTGTTATATTCAAATTTATACTGTAATTGTGATCTGAAAAAAAAACAAAAACAAATTGTTTAAATACTAAAACCATTGCTTCCCTTCTGAATGCTAAGCAAGGAGTTGGAAAATATAATGGAATTTTGATGTTTAAACCAAACAGAAAAATGCTAGTTTCAAAGTTGTGGTGATGGGAAATATTTTTATAATAATAAATAATAATTATCTAAAAAATTTGGTTTTTTTATTAAAACCTGCACTAAGAAAAAATGTGGTAAAAATAACAGTTTTCGTGGTTGTATATTTCCCAAATGCTACAAGTGATTATATTTACCATGACAATTTAGTTGTGGTAAATAAAACCAATGTAGTGCTTGGCCCAAGCAGCTTGGGGCATATTTACTTATATATTGTTATTTACATTTTTTTTTCAGTGTATGTAACCGTAAAAATTGACAAAGACATTGTCAACGCCAATTTAAAAAAATATTTTTTTAAATTGGCGTTTCCGTGATTTTCTATTTGGGGTATTTTGGGGTTTTTAGCTGCAACCTTTGGGGGAAATTAAAGTTTTCAATCTGGCAGCACTGATCTATTGATATCTTTTGCCGTTCCTTAGAAACTATCAATGGACCACGAACGTGAAACATCCGTATTTCGTAAATGTGCAACAACCTGTATATAATAAAAATAATTTTAAAATAAATAAATAATCTTAATGGTTGTCCATTTATTCAGTGAATAAATTCTTTATAAAAATATACTGTCTAGCTGTTATCGAATATATTATATTATGTACCGAATACCGTGAATGACATTAGGTGAAGTAGGTGAAATAAAATACTGACCGCGCCATCTGTTGGCATTTTGATAATTCTAGTATAACTTAAAAGGTTTCCTATGTATTGTTTTATACGGTTTAAAATATTGATGATAGAATCCACAAAAATTTAATGTAGCTAAAAATAATTTTATGATACAAAATAATAGTTTCATCCCAAATTAAAGTAAGAATGTTCCTTAATTAAATAATATTATCTTTAATTGTACCTACATATATTAAATGCTATTTTATAAATTATTAAATTCCGATGTTTATTACAACACCTGCGTCATCTTGCAGCAAAATTCCGAACCAAAACGTAATACTTTGTACGAATACCTCGCGGCTATTGGTTTAGATAACTCGTGTAAACACCCCTACCACCGCGAGATGTATTTCCACGAAAAACTCGATCAGCTGTTTTACTATCGCTCTCAGTTTACAACTTAGTTAAGCAGAATAATGACAGAAAACGGGTAAATGATGACGTTTAAGTTAATTATTGTAATTTCTTTTAAATATTGTGAATTTTAGGCCTCCCGAGACGAGGGTTATTGCCGAAAATAATCTAGAAAGCGATAATTACGATGGGGTTATCCTGGTATCACATCCCGGTCAAGAAATCCAAACGGAAAAATTAAAAACCGCCGTAGAAACAGCCCTTAAATACGACCCATCGTTAAAAACCGAAATTGTTATCCTTCCTCTAAGTTATCCTGCAGGAAGATTGGTGCATGTTCCTACAGGTCCTTTGGATCCTGACTACGATGACGTCAGGGTTTTTAAGGAGTGCGCGCGCAAAGGAATTAAAAGGGCCCTAAAGGCTGGAATGAGGAGACCTCTTTTGGTCCTGGAGGATAATTCGACTTTTATTAATGCCGATCTCGTCACCCTATTGGGGGCTTTGGAAGCTTTATATACGGTAAGCACTGTTGTCGGATTGTTTCTTTGTTGTTTTTTATCAAATTTGTCTGTCCTTGACTGGTTTTATCAAACTTAATGAATAATATTACGTATCTATAAATAATTTGCTAACAAAATTTACATTTCAGTTTTTGTTTACAATGCAATAAAAATAAATAAAACCTACTAAAACTATTTCCCATTTAAATTATTTTTTATTCTATATTTTATATTTATTTTTTTTTAATTCAATTTTCCTTAAGCAAAGACAAAATTGTATTTAAATTTTTTTTATTTAAAATTTGACACATTTAATTATGTTGCTAGGTGTGGTAGGTGTACAGTATGTCAATATTAATTCAAATGTTGTACTTATGTTCAAGGCCTCAATTTTAAATACTTTGACATTTATTATTTAATTATTATAATTATAATAAACAGATTATTCTAAACGAGAAAAAAATTTAAAAACAAAAAGATATTTTTGGAGCAAAAATGAACGCATTTGTTTTCACCAAAATAAATTCATGGATTATTTTTAGCTTAGCAAAACATAACTTTGCTTCGTTATTATTGGAAATACAAAGTCGGTTAAATTATCAAATTGGTGGCATTTTTTCTTCTGATTAAAATTGTAAAAACAGAAAAACAATTGAATGCCGGGTTTTCGAAATATACGCTTAAGAAGTATCGCTAGTAGCGCCACCACTCGGCTGTTATCATCATAACAAAAGTGCAACAATAATAAACAAATAATTCGTCCAAATTTAAACAGCATTTAGCATTATTAAAAGCGTTGATTAAGAATTCTTTAAGTCTCCACCCAACGGTAAAATACCATTATATTATGTATTATATATATTTTTGTGTTGTTATGAATTCGGAGGTATATTTTGTTGTTTAAAATGCAGTTGTCGGCGTTTTTTAGAGAACTCAAATATAAAAATGGTTGCTTTTAAGGTTATGTTTGTGTAAAAATTATTTTTTACTAATTTCTTAAAAATGTATTGTATATAAATTATATTAGGTAGTTATCATTAGTTAATTCTGCACCAACAAATGTACTTACCGAATTTATATCATTTGACAAACATGAAAATGCAACGATTTAGTTCATGAATTTTATTTACATTTAAAAACACAATAATTTACCATAATCCCTTAGATAAAATACACACACTAACGTAACTAAATAGCATTTAAGCGTTGAGTTTTTTAATCAGTGATATAAAGAATAATCAATCGAAATCGAGTACTAAACCAGTTTTTTAGTTTTTTCCTTGCAACGTAAAACACAAATAACGTGCGCGATTTAGCTGTTCAATTGAACAAAATTTGTCGAGTAGGTCTTCTGCCTTTCTCTCTTTTGTGAAAAAACTATAAAAACATTTAAAATCAAAATGTCTAAATTTATATAGATATACCGGGTGCTCCATAAAAAGTGTGCACTTTTTAGAATTTACCAATGATTTTTTTTTAATTTTTGTTAAAAAAATGAATGAAATATTTGATAAATAAAATCTGATAAAATATCAAATGAAAAAATCGAAAGCTTTTTATATTAAAAAAAAATAGTTAAAAAAGCTGTGGTAGGACATTTTAAATACAAAAGGACATTTTATTATTATTAAAAAATTATTTAAAATTTAATTTGATGACATAATAAAAAAAACAAAAATAATTTGTATTTAAATAAATCGTGTAATAATTTAAAAATATACATATTTAAACCTAAGTAGCATCAAAAGTGGGCATGCTTTCAACAGACACAGTTTGGCAACATCGCACTTAATATTTCTTGTAAATTTCTGTAAAACGTGTTTAGGTGCCTGACAGGTAACGCCCCCTATGGTCAATTTTTTCAACATTAAGTATATTCATTCAACCTTCTTGTTAGTGGTATGAGAAAATTAAAATTTACTATACATCAATATTTTGTAATTACAGTAATTTTTTATGACCAGTTTTTTTACAGAAATTGTTGTGGTTTACTGGTATTATTAAATGATTAGGGTTTTTAGTGTCAATTACTTTGCTTATCGTTAACAACTTTGTTTGCCTACTTATAGATAATTTTATAAAAATGCTACCAATTCAATAACAGATAAAAAATATTAATTTTTGCATAATAAAATCATTATTATCATTTAATCACTTTTTTATTATGGATCAATTGGTAACAGCATTTGTTTTTCAAAAATAATATTTATGTATCAAGGCAGTAAAGTCGTATTTTTTATCAAGAATGTGGAAATCCGAAATCACATTTAATAATACGTATACTGTTTGTTGCGACGGTTATTATACGAGGTGTGTTCAGAAAATATCGGGAATTTTCGTTTTTTGAAACAAATATTTATTTATTCGTCTACATTAATGTTGTCGCCTTCAAAATAGTCATGCACATGTGCCTTCTTCCAATACTCAAAACACTTCTAAAACTCGATCTTTAGGATAGCCTTTAGTTCTTTCAGCGATGCGCTTTTAATGTCATCTATGCTTGCAAAACGACGGCCCTTTAAGGTTCTCTTTATTTTTTGGGAATAGGAAAAAGTCTGACAGAGGCATGTCTGGCAAATATGGAGGCTGGGGCATCATTACAGTATTGTTTTTGGCCAAAAATGTTGTTCAAAATTTGACAATTTTAGAACAAATTTTGCTGCCACGCGTTTCATACCCAAAACATTCGAAAAAATTTCATGGGATGAGCCAACATCATCAGCGACTTCTCTGATGGTTTATAACCATTTCTTCCACTTTTTCCATGTTTTTATCGGTTTTTAGTGTGCTTGTGCGTTCGGAGCGTTCGTCATCTTCAACGTCCTCACGGCCATCTTGGAAACTCTTATACCACTTGTAAACTCTTGTTTTACTTAAAGCATACTCACTATAGGCCTTTGTTAACATTGTTAAGCAAAATTGTTAAGCAAAATTGGATACAAATTCTTTGATCCATTTCTTTTAACGAACGAAAAATCGCCGAGCTCATAAAACACGTCTAACCTCAGCGGCTGCCACGGACAAAGTAAACAATGAAAACAGCTAAAGTTTTTATCATACTTCGGGGGCATGTATCAGGGCTTCTAGCAAGTCATTTTAGTCATTAAAAATCATTTTTTTCTGTTGTGGTCATTTAATCATTTTTTGTAGGGATTGGTCATTTTTGATCATTATTTTAGGTTCTTACTTAAAGTTTATAAGATTTTTTTGGTAAATAATACAAATAAAATGGAAAATCTACGCCACTTTAATTTATTAATCTACACCACTGGTAGTGCCGCGCTGGTGCCACCTGTTAATACTTTTAAAAAGTTGTAAATATAATTCTTTCTTTGTTGCTCTCATTCTTTTTTTCATTCTTGTGTCTCATGTAGTGTTGTCACTGAAAAAAACAGTCTTGTTTTTTTTCAAAAAAAAATGTTTTTTTTAGAAAAAAAATAGAGGTCCTTGTTTTAAAAAAAAAAATGTTTTTTTTCAAAAAAATGGTCAAATATACTCAAATTATATTAAGTGACAGGATTTTCGAAATGTCACTGCTGAGGAAAGAATTTTTGGCACATTCTGTCACTAGAAGATTATTAAATACTAATTATAGTTTCTTACTTACCATTAGTAATATTCTTAAACAAATTGTTTAACGTTGTTGGCTTTCGCCCTGAGCCTTTTCTTTTCGGCATTTCTACCAACTATGCATAAACCTATAAAGCCGCAGGTCTTAACTCTTCTATTATAATACCTTATAGACTATACGATATGCTGAGTCAGCATTGCCGACAGCGAGGCGCCCTTTTACCATAAGTGGGTAAGGATGAAAAAAATCAACTTTTGTTTTTTTTTCAGTGAAAAAAAACATGTTTTTTTTTCACGTGTTTTTTTCAACTGAAAAAAAAAACGTTTTTTTTACAACACTCTCATGAAACACACTCCCGCCATTTTCTTCTAAAGAGTGCGTGTTTTAATTGTTTTGCTTAACCTAAAAGGCGAGAGCTCGAGAGCGAAACGTTTTATTCATTAAAAATATGTAATAATGTAAGTAAAAATTAAATAAATAAATTGAAACCCCAATTAATTTGCTAATTCTTTTAAGTTAACTTTTTTAATTTTATATTTATTTGTTAATTCATTTTAATTAATTTTATCTTGTTATTGTTAAAACAATAAAGATTAAGAATAAAACTATTTAAAAGGAGGTTTTAATACTATTTTCCAACTTAAAATTTATTTTTATTAGGATAGAAAGTCATAAAATAGTCATTTTTTAAAAGAAAAAGTCATTATTTTGTCATTATTTTAAAAAAAGGAAGTCATTATATCATTAAAATTTTCAATTTTTTTACTAGAAGCCCTGCATGTATACCAACATAATAAAGAAAATTTTATGACAACCGGACCCTCCGAACCCGCGAAATTTAACAATTCCCGTTATTTTCTGAACACACCTCGTAATAATAAAATTAACTTAATAGTCTTATTAAACAACATTTAATGAAAGGCTCCAATCGACCTCCGCGACGGTGCTTTTTTTAAATATTATTTAGTTGCTGCTGAGGAGCAGTAGACACATCTTAAAATGTATAATGGGTTGCATATAGGGTAAAGGCACCAGTAATTGCCACTGCACCAGTGGTTGCCATTTATTATTTAGAAATTCAAAAACAAAACCATATGCAATATCTGTGCATATGGCGCACTCCCTATGCGTAAGGAATTGTATCTAGTGTATTATGTATTTAGAACAACTGTCACCAGGTGGCGCATTTTTCGACAGAAAAAAATATTCAGGCAACTTGTTGAATCAGCTGTTTATAAAAGATTTCTTGTGACTTTGGTTAAGAAAGTGTAAGATTAGTTTTTCGTGATATTGGCATATGTTGTAAATCAATTTGAGTTTTGTTTGTGCAGTAGGCATATATGCTAAGTAGTTTAAATGAAACGCATATAAATTGTTCATTAAATTAAAAGAGTATTTTGATTTAGAGTAGTGGCAATTACTGGACCATTTTTTTTCTTTTAACCCAATATTTGTCATTTGTGGTAATTACCTACTGAAGAATTTTGGATTATCGTATTATGACCTTTAAAGCTCTAAACTAACCTATAATATTTAGTTTATTCTTGACATTAATAAGAACATTATATTTAAAGAGAATCCAGTAATTTCCATCTCTTTTTGAATGTGTCAATTACTGGTTCACTTTAGTGGCAATTATTGATCCAGGTATAAAATTAAAATTGATCAACATGGAACCAAAAAACAAGACCTTTTTTCGCTATTCCCAAAAAAGCAAAGAATCTGCATTGGCTGCTTGCCAAGGTGGTATGCCATTTTCCATGTTTCTTGTTTAATTTAATAAAATAAATTAATGGCAATTACTGGCCAGGTACACTGGCAACTACTGGTTTTTTTTAAATGGTCATGGCAATTACTAGTCCTCTGTACCTCAATAAAAAAAATATATATTGTACTTGGTGATGTCTTTAATTTTTAATGTTTGGTATAAGTATCTATTAACTACATGGTTGTTTATTAAGACGAAATCTAAATTTCTTCTGGTACTTTTTTAGCTATTTTGTGTAAACACTAGCTTTTAATGGCAATTACTGCAGTGTGCATGGTGTCATTACCCTAATACTCGTATTAAATCGCACAAATTTTACTTTTTTATTTTCTTTCGTTTAGCCCATTCAAGTAAGGGAACACAACCCATGCCTTAAACAAAAAGTGACCCACCTGGGGGTCTACACAAAGGATCCTAAAAAAACCGAAAGCCTAGTAAACATGGCGAACGTCCTTGAAGCAGGACGGCGCGTCGCCTGCGACATCGGCGACGCTGATCCTGAAAGGATGTCGCCTCCGAACGTCGAGGCCTACTTAACCAGCGTATTTAAGGACACCTGTGTATCGATGAACGTTGTCAAGGATTTGAACGAGATCGAAAAGGATTATCCTTTGTTCGAGGCTGTCAATAGGGCGGCTAAGCAGCAGGAGAGGCATCAAGGAAGGATTGTTTTCCTGGAGTATAATCCTGCTGGACCTGGACCTGTTAAGGAAACTGTCTACTTGGTCGGAAAGGGTAAGATACAATTATTTTTTTTTAATTAAAAATTTTATATTTGGATTTTTATATTTTTACAAAAAAATATATTTTTGTTAATACAAGCATAAATATTAGTTTTAAAGATAGCAGCAACAAAATATTTGTTAATTTCAACCAAAGATTAACCAGAACAACAAAATATTTTTTTAAATATTAACAAAATAATCTGTAACCTTTGAAATTAACAAAATGCTAACAAAATTGTATATTACCTTTACAAAACTTTCGGTAAAATATTTTTCTTTGTTAAAATAATTATAAAAAATTATGTTAAAATTTTACAAAGAGAGGAGTAAATATTTGAGTATTCTAATAGAGATGGAAATCGATTATAAATAAATTATTCGAATACCTATTCGAATACTCGAATATAAAAACACTTTTTTTCATGAAATATTATTTATTTATTTAATAAATATTTAATTATATATAATATATATTATATAGGATCCTAGCAAAACTTAAACATGAGATGCGAATTTTTATAATGATTAAATAGTTTTGATTATTTAAAATATTTTATGATTCGAATGTTTAAAAATTCGATTATTTGAATATGTACTCGATATTCGAAATATTCGAATATACGAGTACACGAATGTTCGAATACCCGAATATTAGAATACTCCAATATTCGAATATTCGAAATAATTTTTAAACGAGTAGTTTGCTAAAACAAATTATTTCATCATAGATTGCGTTTAAATAACAGTTTTATTTAATTGTTTACTGAATAAAAAAGTATTCTACTGTATAAGTAAGGTACAGTTGTATTCAATAAAAAAGCGTACAAGAATTAGAATGAGAGAAAACTGTCAAAATAATATTATTGCTTAAAACCGGCTTATCACTGACATAAGTCATTAAAATAATTATTATAGGTTATAAAGAGCATTGACGTCGTAGGTTAATTAAATAATATTACAAAAATTATTACCTTTTAATAATGAAAAAAACAAACATTAAAAAAAACTTAATATTTAGTCATGCATCCCTGTTTTTCTATTACTTGAGCCAATCTATTTGGGATGAACTGAATTAAATTTAATACAATATTTGGATTAATATCTTCCCAGCAGTATAGTAGGTATAGTATAGTTGTATAGTTTCCCATAAATCCTCAGATATCTCAAAAAAGCAGCATCCTGTTCAGGGGTCGACATTTTGGGACGACCTGAACCAACTTTTTGGTTTAGTAAATCTTCCTGTTCCCATCGTTGCTTAATTTTTAATATAGATTTTTTATTTCTATTATACCACAGTACGAATTGACCATTCTTCTTCGATTCTTGATACTATTTAACTGACGAGGCATTTTTATTTTCTACTGTCAGTTATAGTGACTTAAGTCAGTGGAAAGCCGGTTTTACGCAATAATGTTGACAGTTATCTCTCATTCTAATTCTTGTACGCTTTTTTAATGAATACAACTGTACATGTGTACTTTTAGGTAAATAAAAATATAGATAAAAAAAACAGTTGGTCATTGTCTTTTTTCTGAAATTCTGATTGTAGCATATCTGCACAATATGCACTTAAGTCCTATATCTTTTTGTAGCATAAGTACTAGACTGGCCCAAAAAAATCGACTATTTTTTTTTGGAAAGTATATCGAAAATATTGTTTGGGGTGACAAAAAAAATTATGGTGAAAGTTTAAGTCCATAATATTAATATTAAGAGGTCTATCATCGCAATTTTAGATTTTTTTTTCCTGAGCGAGTTTTTGTCTCAGAACTCCCAAATCATTGAGTTTAACAAAATTGACTTAAGAATATTTTTTGAAGAAAATTGAATGTTTACAAAAAAGGTTTGATTGTAATTTTCCATCAGATGAACCCTTTTCTTACAATTATGCCTTAAAAATTGGTATAGTTTTACAATTTGATCTTTTGGAATTTTGTAATTCAGGTAAAAATCTTTTATCATTTTTGGCTAAATTCACCCCATCAAAAGTTATTCAAGGTTAAATTTGAAGTCAAAATGAAATTTTAACCTTGAATAACTTTTAGGCTTTTTTAGTAAAGCATTTGATTTCCCATAAGAATATTTATCGGTTTTTATGGGTACTGATTTTTACATGAATTACAAAATTCCAATTTAAAACATCAAAATGTAAAACTATACCAATTTTTAAGGCATCTGACGGAAAATTTCATTTTAACCTTTTTTGTAGAGCATTTAATTTTCTTAAAAAAATATTTTTAAGTCAATTTTGTTAAACTCAATGGTTTGGGAGTTCTGAGCCTAAAACATGCTGGGGAAAAAAATTAAAATTGCGATGATAGACCTCTTAATAATAATATTATGGACTCAAACTTTCACAATAATTTTTTTTATCGCCCCAAACCATATTTTCGATATACTTTTCAAAAAAAAGATAGTTGATTTTTTTGGCCCAGTCTAATAAGTACCTATTGTTTTTTTTTCAATTTTTTCAAAATAATTTTTTTTTCGATTTTAATTTTTGAAATTATTTTTCCTGTTATATTAGCCATTTAAAAACGTTTTATGTACAAAAATAAAATCATATGCATTTAAGGGTTAATTATTTTTAACGCGCTTCTTTATCCTCCTTTCAGGGGTGACCTATGACACCGGCGGCGCCGACATCAAAGTGGGCGGCAGCATGCTGGGCATGTCGCGCGACAAATGCGGGGCAGCGGCTGTGGCGGGTTTCATGTGCACCGTGGCGAAATTGCAGCCGCAAGACGTGAAATTTGTGGCCGGGTTGAGTTTGGTGAGGAACAGCGTGGGGTCGAACTCTTACGTGGCGGACGAAGTTATCACCGCCAGGTCCGGCGCGAGGGTCAGGATCATCAACACAGACGCCGAAGGACGAATGGTGATGGCCGATGTCCTTTGCAAGGTAGGATGTTTTAATTTATACTTTATTTTTTTACTAGAGCTTTGATTAAAAAGTTTGTTCAAAATAACACTGCAGTTTTGCCGGAAATCGAGATAAACCATTTTTTACCCTTAAAACCCCCCCCTCCCACTTCTCGAACTCAGATCGCCCGTAATTTATTTTTCCTTTAAATTTTATTATATTCCCCTCCTTTTCCAATGGGTTTCATCCTACTGTTATTTTTTTCTCTTTTTACCATTTTTAAAGGTTTCTGCACTGGTCTAAATAATTTAATTAAAATTTCTTCAAACAAAAAATTTAATTTTGTAGATCATGATCGAGAAGTGGGAGGGGGGGGTTTTAAGGGTAAAAAATGGTTTATCTCGATTTCCGGCAAAACTACAAGTCCTATGGAAAAAAATTAAATGGCAAAGTTGTAGGTAATAAAAGGATCTACAACTTTTGTATTTACAATTTTTTCACATAACCTCAAATCTTTTTCAAAAATAAATTTTTTTCCACGAAGTTTGGTGAAAACTGACCTTTTTATGTCCCAAATACACTGTAATTTATTTGATTTGAAATATTTATTATTTCGCCTTATTTTGACTTAATATCAAAAAAGCACCCTAATTTTCAATCGAAAATTCTCGCGTCAAAATATCAGCTTTTTTCAAAAAGTCGGTGTGCTTTTTGTTCGATGAACTCTCTACTTTCTGATGGTGTAAAATATACATTACTATGGTAAATGTTCTCAGAAAATACAAAAAATATTATAATGAATAACGTAATCTAAATTCAATAGTATGATTTACATGTATTTTTATATTTTATGAGATTTTCTGACATAAATGTTATTAGAATTTAATAAATAAACTTTTTAACTAAAAAAAATTGCAACAATCACATTTTTTTGATGAAATTGTACATTATGATTAAAATAAATTTTCGAATTCGAGTTTTTTTCGTTATTCATTATAATATTTTTTGCATTTTCTGAGAACATTTACCATAGTAATGTATATTTTTTACACCATCAGAAAGTAGAGATTTCAACGAATAAAAAGCACACCGACTTTTTGAAAAAAGCTGATATTTTGACGCGAGAATTTTCGATTGGAAATTAGGGTGCTTTTTTGATATTAAGTCAAAATAAGGCGAAATAATAAATATTTCAAATCAAATAAATTACAGTGTATTTGGGAGGTAAGTTTTCACGAAATTTCGTGGAAATTTTTTTTTTTTTTAAAGATAAAAATAAAAAACCAAAAACTTGGTTTTTTGAATTTTTCACATAAATTTTGAGGTTATGTAAAAAAATTGTAATTACAAAAGTTGTAGATCCTTTTATTACCTACAACTTTGCCATTTAACTTTTTTCCATAGGACTTGTAGTTTTGCCGGAAATCGAGATAAACCATTTTTTACCCTTAAACCCCCCCCCTCCCACTTCCCGAACTCAGATCGCCCGTAATTTATTTTTCCTTTAATTTTTATTATATTCCCCTCCTTTTCCAATGGGTTTCATCCTACTGTTATTTTTTTTGGTTTCAAAAATTATCGACCCTGGTCTAATTCCCAATGCCACAAAAGAGAAAAAGATTAACCGACTAATAGTTATCCATGTATCAAGGCAGTAAAGTCGTAATTTTTTTCAGGAATGTGCACTTTAATGCCGAGGTGCATATTAAATTTTATCCGAAATCACATTTAATAATACCAACTAATAATTAATATTGGTAATTAAATCAAATGTCATTTGATGATCAAATCAAATGTCATTTAAATGTAGGAAGTGTCTACGTATACTGTTTGTTGCGACGTTTATTATATATTTGCCCGCCGCGGCGATTTTTTAATCTAATTAATAAAATTAACTTATATTAATTTATTAAACAACATTTTATGAAAGGTTTTTAAATATTATTTAGTTGCTGCTGAGGAACAGTAGACACATCTTGCAATATAATACTTGTATTAAATCGGCAATAAAGTTCTACTTTACTGCCGATTTCGGATAATTTTGGACGCATTTGGTTTTACCAAAATAAATTCATGGATTTTATTTAACTTAGCAAAACAAAGTTATCTGCTCACCATTGGTAACTTCGTTATTATTGGAGCTACAAAGTCGGTTAAACTAGCAAATTGGTGACATTTTTTCTTCTGATTAAAATGGTGAAAACAGAAAAACAATTGAATGTCGGGTTTTCAAAATATTTATAAAAATAACATTTTTAAAATATTCTGTATATTTTACAATTTTTAAAAGACAATTTAATTTAGAACTGTCATAAAATATGCACAAAATTTTTAAACCAAATTTAAAAACAGATTTAACCTAATTTTGCCTAATATATAAAAATATACTGGGTGCTCCATAAAAAAGTGTCTGCAATTTTTGAAATTTAACAATAATATTTGTTTTTTTTTTAATTTTTAAAATAATCAATGAAATATTTGATAAATTAAGTTTTTTTGTATTAAAAAAATAGTGATAAAAAAATTTGGCCAAAATTACACTGATTTTGATTATTTTGCTGAAAAGTGGTCATTTTTGACGGCTTTGAATCGCTGTATCTTCGTTGCTGTTCATTTCATTTGTACAAAATTTTCAGGGTATACTAACAAAAATAGGGTCTTTAACAGCATATTTTTTTATTTACTTAAGAAAATACCCTAAAAGATATTTTTCGAACGTTTTTTCATTATTAAATAAAAGGGCTTTATAAATATTTTCTTGAAAAACCCTCGAACTCGTAAACTAAGATATAAGTTGAAGTATTTTTATCCAAAATTTCATAAAGAATAATAAAGGCGTTTTAGAGTTAGATTTTTTTTACAGTGGTTGCAAAAATTATGGCCAACACTGTACATACATTCATAAATTTAAAAAGATTATATTATCGTTTGTACCGATTTTTTGATTTCGCCCTAGTAGTGCAGTTAAATAGATTAAACTGATAAACCGTTAAAAATTTTGCGTACAGTGCCCATAAAATATTCTCTTCTCTTTTACTTTGAAACTGCTTCTATATCGATTTTTAGTCTATTTTCAAGAAATTAATTTTGATTTACACGGGAATTCCAATAAATACAACTGTCAGTTTTTGTACCTTTAACATTTGACGTGTAAGAATTTTTATTACATTGTGATAATATTTTGCAATTTTAGTGACGAAAAAATCAAAGAATAACATATTTTCTTAACATAATCATATATTTAAGTTATTTTAATATTTTAAATAATTGTTAAGATTAATTAAAATATCAACGGGCAATGTTAATGGTAAAAATACCGTCAAAATTTTACCTTATTTTCGTATAGCATGCAACTCGTTTAAGTATAAACTTTTCTAGGCACTCATTAAATTAAGCACTCGTTCGCAAGCTAAATTAAATTCGTGTCTAAAATGGCGTTGATAAATAAAATACAATTACGCAATATCTTGAAAACAAGATGTAATTAAGCAAAATTATGGAACAGGACCACTCAAATTACCCTAGAAAAACCATGTAGCAAAATTACTGCAGATAAACTTGCAAAAATGGCGAATGCGCCGGGATTAATACTACATTTTTGCCCCTTGACAAATCAATTTTAAGTGTAGTTTTTAAAAAATAGGTAAGGCTAAAATTTTAAAATAAAAAATGCCCTTATAGAGCGTCTCTAAATTTAAGCCACTGCACAGTGCATCATGGTTAAAAATCCCAAAAACCCGGACATCGATTTAATTTAAGTAATATATAGGTAAAAATGCGTAAAGAAGGATTTTTCGAGGTCGCTGATTACAAATTTTCAGATTTCATCTAAATCATGTGTACGGAGGTTTTTAGGGTCGCTGATAACGAATTTCAGGTTTCATTTTCATAAACTAAATTGGCAGATTCAAAATGGCCGAATTAAAAAGAAATATATCAGATTCTGTCTAAATCATGTAACCCGACATTTATAAAAAACTGATCGGATTGGATAATAAAATGTAAGCCAACCTTGGCATTGATTTTGAAATTTTATTTACTGGTCCAACGTGTTATATTATATTAAAAGAAAATATTAATGATAACTTTATAATTATTTTCAATTTGCAGATTTGCTAGCATCATTTTCCTGGCAAAGAAAACGATTGTGTTTATGTATAAAGAAGGCAACCGTTTTACGAAACCGTAACTTGTTAACTGTTTACTTATAGAACTGTATCTAGCAATAATTTATAAGTCTATCACACGACATATAAAAGTTGTTGTTATTAAGTAATGGCAATCAATAATAATTATTATTTAATAAGAGCGCAACGATTGTTCAATGACAGTGCAAAAATTTATTAGCGAATTAGGTGCATTAGTTTAAACAATGGAGCGTTTGTATACAGGGTCTCCCAGGTATTATTATTAATATAATTTAAACCCAAAAAATGCCCCTCATCAGAAAAATGTCAAAGAATTTTTTTCATATTCGTAGTCATTCCAAATAAAAACACCAAATGGGGTGCGCTGCTTAATTTTTTATTTTGATAAAAAAAATTGAGGATGATCTTTTAGGTATCAAATATGAAAAAGTTATTTTTTTTCAGGTATCAAGTACTTATACAATAGAAGACGTAACTATTATTTTAAGTTTCTAGACTATCATTTTCTTTATTAAAAATATTATTGAAACTTGATAATTCTTAAAATTAGTCAATTTTGCCCCCAGAAATCATTATGTTGAGGAAAAAATTTAAAACTTTTCAGAACTTGAATATTTTCTATGAGAAAGAGGTACAAAATTATGATTATGAATCTCGAACACTCCGTCATTTATTACACTTGCAAACTTGCAAATTCTTTGAAATAACAATTTAAATACGCACAAATAATATTTATGAAATATTTTTGACAGTTCTGACATTTCTCTACCAAACATGAATTGACTAAGTCAAAGCCATCTAAATTTTAAATTATAAATAAAACTAACAATATCGCTTCTTAACTGCATTAAAAAAATTATTATATCTTTTACATGGATAAAAATAACAAAA